GTGGGGGGGGGGAGGGCGGGGGGTATAAATTTCTAGATCTCTCAATGGCTTGGGCAAAGCATAAAGGTGAATAGTGTAAATCATCATGCATATTCATATCTTTTTTCCCCATTTCTATCAAATATATCATTTCAAACCTTATTTTCATATTTTTACTTTTAAAAACAGTACTCTTAGAATAGTCATAATTGCAATGCCAAAATGATTCCCTAAACTATAAATTACTTTTTCAGTGCTCATAATAAAAATAGGGGAACATCATCATTTAAATAGTTACTTTGATATTACTGCACAGGAACAAATACATCAACATGTATTTAAAGTCTTAATTACAATAGAAACTGGTATTCCCTTTTCACTGAACTCTACTTATTTTTCCTAAACATCATTAAACAAGTAATGGGATTTTTGTTTGGAAATTAAATAAACAAACACCAAGAGAGAAGCACACTGTAGCTAGCCTCCTGCTGTTCCTACCTTTAGCACACATAAACCTGATTAAGTCCTTTTGTCCGAGTCTTGCTGGCTCCAGGTCTGTTAGATCGGTGGAAAAAAGCAGACTAAGAAAGAGACAGATGCAAAGTGGAGATGATGTTAGAGAGGAATGAGATACCTTCCCTACACACAGATCTGCAAACACACTCACTCCCTGTCTGTGTGTTAGAATAAAAGGCTGAGGGATGGCAGGCTGTCAGCTGCTCTGACATCATGTTCAGATGGAAATGTTACCTCCAGCTGTGCTCCTTTTAATGCCATATGCTACTCCTCTACACTCCTTCCACCAGCTTTTTCTTAGGAGAACTTTTCTTGTCTGTTAGTATAAACAAAATACTTCAAAGTCTCTTTTTTCAAAACTTTCTAACAGAGAAAAGTAAAAAAAAACAAAAAACCTTAGACATATGGGGCTTCACTGCATGTACAGTATAGAAACCCTTCTGTCATAACTTTGGAGTCTTTTTTATACTGAGAACTTAGCCATCCATTTTTTTTTACTGAACCCAGAGGTTCATTTTAAGCAATTCATTTTATCCAACTTATTTATCTTGGTACACAATTCACCCTTTCTATCAATTTAGAAAGTACAGTCTAGAAAAACTTTTTATATATAAATATCAATGCAATTATAAGTTGTTAACTCATTCTGTTAATAACATAATGATTGCTTACATTTTTATGTACCATAAGGAACATTCTTTCAGGGCACTTATAAAAGTCATCTGCATGCTCAATTTGGTCTGCAGATTATACTATTGCGAATAACTTGTACTATACAAGGACAGAAATAATAGTAATACTCCCCTCCTAGTAGTAAACTTGTAAAAAGTGCAGTTATTTAAATGAGGGTTATTATATAAAACCTATTTTATCTGTGGCATGAAACTGAACTCTAAGTTTACTATTTATTAGTTAGGCAATAATATTATCACATACTTTAAAATTATTACTGTTTTTACTTTGTATGTATATAGTAATCCTATTTTTGAGAATAGAAAAAATGTTATGACCTCCCTTAACTTGACAGGAAAATGTTGTGAGTAATCGGGAAATAAAATAAAATGAAACAAGCTGTTCAGCACAGCAGAATGGACAAGTATCCAGCTTGCCAATCTTAGGCCACACACTATGTTTAATTAACAAAGTTCTCTGCACCATTTACTCATAACTCCCCTCCCCCAATCTCATTTTACTATAGTAGCTGGTTAATTCAAGCAATTTCCCTCTTGCCACTGTTCTTAATAGAATTTTACAAATCAAGAAAAAAATCTGGATGAATATGAGACAAACACGGTATGGTAGGTGACCCAATTGTGATCTTCCCCTTTTACCCGTCATAGAGAGTGACACCAACATGAAGATTAAGTCAGCTATAAGTTCATTTACCTCCTGACATATTGCAAAGTGTGTAAAGATTAAAGCAAGTAAATGCACAGAAGAGGGAGGCAGCACAGAAAGAAAAGAAGGAAGCAGGCAAATACGGGAATAGACCCTCTTATAGTAGTCAAAGGAACAACAAAAGGAAAGTAAGGAGAAGAGCTGAACACAAGAGTCCTGGGAAGGAACAAATCTCCTCTCTCCTCTCATCCACCCTGCCTTCTCCCCACAGCTGCACTGCTCTCCACATCACCTACCCCTTCTGACCTTTTGAGCTGTGAGACAAAACACACACCGCATAGCCTCTGCCACACACAAAGGACTCCCCCATCTGCTCCCGAGCTCAGCCCAGCCCAGCCCAGCCCCCCAGCAACCCCCCTCCATCTCCCATCCTGCAAGTGAGGCTGTAAACTCTGAACCTTGCAAACTTACTTGGGAACGGCTCCTTATTCTCCTGCAGTTGCAAACTGCTCTGGAGCTTCCTCTCTCCTCTCCTCTCCTCTCCTCTCCTGAAAGCCCCGTCCAGGAGACACACCTGAGTCTACCATCCAAAACAAGCTGCTCCCTCTCTAGCACATTAACCCCGGACGCCCTCCTACCTGCCCCCATCCCGTCTTTATGGAGCCCATTTCAGAAAATGAGGCTCCCTCCCCCCTCCGCATCCCACCGAGCCCCCCCTCTCCCCCACCTGTTAAACC